CTAATATAAATTACACCAATTTTCTATTTCAATATTTTATACCTTGAGTTCGCAACTAAACAGCACTTACTACTCATCACATCATATTCTTTCTTCCACACTATTGAAAGTCTGAAAGTTTTGGAAGACGAAGCTACAACCTTTTCCGGGAAACATATAAAACTACGGCTGGCGTGTAGTTGCGATACTAGCAAAGTATGTTGCATTCAGTGACCGAGATATGCATGTAATTTGAATACATATTTTAAAAAGATGAACAGTAGGCAAATAAATTATTAGTACGATCAACATAATTGAGGAGAATATGTCGTATCGCCATTTTTCCACATATTATCTTCTTGAGCAACTGTTGCCCGACACATTGGACACGTATGTTCGTTATCCAGCCATGTGCCGATACATTCTTCACAGAAAATGTGTCCACAAGAAAGCTGTAAGAAATAACATTATTAAGAAACTGAGACCTATACTGCTAATGACCTGAAAGCAGTTGCGCAATAGCAGAAAAAACATTTCACTGACTGTCCAACTTGTTTTGTTTTCCCGATAAAATCTTTAAAATACCAGGAAATAATTTTACTGTATTCATAACAGATATTCAAAATATGCTTTAGAAAGATTTTGAATAAAGTGAAAACTTGGTCTGAGTAAATTAATATCATAGTTTAACGAGCTACACCATTAAATTTGAATTGATATAATTTTTGCTGTACATGACAACAAACCAGAAGCAGAATAAGACAAACGGAAAGACTAAATAACTTGGTTCTCTAAATCATAACGTGATAAATACCAAGCAAAAACAAAGTGAAAAAGAACAAACCCTGATCGGATTGCAAAAATCATTGAAGCAAATTGTACACTGAACTGAATCTTCTTCATCTACCGAAATTTTCGAACCAACAGATGTAAGACGGAAAATACGACGTGTGCTTTCAAACCAACGCTTACCAATTACTTGCATTAAACATGCCTAAAAGGAGTTAACATAAGCTATGTTCAAACGGACATATTTTCGTTTTCTGATTTTACTTTCAGATAATGATAACATACCTTATAAATTACATACAGCACGGCGAAAAAATGATCACCAAAATATGTAAGTGGAGTGGAAAAAAGCGAGTAACTGAGATAGCGAGTCCACTGGGGTATTGGCAATATATAACGATAGAACTGGCTGGTATATTCAATCCACTGGAAAAGTCGACGTAAACGTCTATTCCCAATGAATTTCGTTGGCAAGACAGTGAGCTGAACAAGTGAAAATATAAGCTGATTAACTTTAAATTCAAAAGCAGAAGCGCTAAAAAAGAATTAAGTAAATGATGAAAACTGAATGGAACATAGAAAAGCGTCCAAAATGGTTATAAATCCCTTTCTGATTCCACATTTCGATAAAAAATCCTCAACATAGCTAATATATTATTTCATGCTTGCAATATTTCTGTTAGACACTTTAACAGAACAAGTGATTGGCATGTAATCGCCAAGAAAGAAATCTACTATATCGCAAGAAAAACATTAACACCAACAGCTCAAAAGCTCATCAAAATTTAAGTTTATGAGGTCTTTACACAAAATTACCATAGAGCGATAACTGATTTATTGCGTTGAAAAAACTAAATGGTAAAATGCAGTGTACCCCGGCTTTCACTACGACGGTGATGATTTTAACAGCAAAATCAACGACCAGTACAACATGTAATGTGGCAAAAAAAGTGATCGGATTCGTAAGGCGAGACATAAAAGCCATTGGTATATAGATAGAATCCAGGCCTGTAAAGAAAATGCTATATATTTATCTGAAATGAAGACCGTCATCAAAGGATAATTGCCCTTCCACCCATTACAATTATGTAGTCAAAAAGTAACCGTACCGTAAAAAAGCGACTGGAAATTGAAAAAGAAAACCGATGATGTGAATGACTGCAAAAGATGAAAATAGCGCTTTTCCCTGAAAGTTGATGCGGTTAGTGAAATTCGAATTGGTATTATGAATTTAGCTGAGATTTCTTGATTGTTGCAAAGCGAAAAATCATTAGAAACCTCATCCTCGAATCACAATGCATCAGTTGAAAAAATTTTTAGAGGGAAAGAAAAATACAAAAAATTACCTTCGAGAAGCCATAAAAGTGCTGTTAGCAATATGAAAAAGAAAAAATGCTGTCAAAAGACTTAGCAATGAAAAGAATCCATCAACAATAGCTTTGAAAAATATAATGATGAAGAAAGGTAAAACATTGAGCAGCAATACCCAAAACTGAAAATATAATATAGTTCCAAAAAAGATGACCAGTTTTCAGATAAAATTGAAAAAATTGCAAAATAATTCCTTTAAAACTTCCATTACCAATACTGCGCGACCCAGAAAAACTGGAAAAATTTTGCACTTCATTGATTTTTGCTAAACCAACAGCGTCAACTAGTTCACAGGAAGTCATACGAAATATAGACTTTGGACCTACCCTTTGGAGTTCAGCACTCTGAGCAAGTGCTCTTAAACGACTCAATTCTCTCTGAAGATTCGTATTTGTGGTACCATCATTCGTAGAGGAATATTCTTCGCTGTTATCTGTTGCATCAGCTACAATTAACACAAAATTCCAGATCCAAAATAATTGAGCTTTTAAGATTGGAAAATTTTATTTAAAAGATACAACGAAAAAAAATAAACTGATTCACAAACTTGTCGATCTTCCAAACAAAGTTCCGCTAACATTCGGAGTAATCCTATGCCTAGTACCAGAATCTGAAGAAGTACTTGACGCACTATCTTCATCTACGACAATCACTGTATCTGCACGATCATTTCTGCTTTCTGAAAATAAAAAACTAGAAAAGAAATGACGAAAAAACTGAATATAACAAAGAACTTTTGGACAAATCACAGAATTTCAAAATGTGGTTAGAAGAAACTTAGTTATATTATAATTTTTGTTCTTTTACCGTTCTGAGTTACCTGAAATATTCATTAAATTACTGTCATAAGACAAAAAAGAGTGAAAAAGAAAGAGTACAGCCAAGATTACGCCAAAGCATATCTTACGGCTTTCCAACCACCAAGTGTATATATTGGTACCTGCTTCAATCGATGATATGCTAGAGGCAGGTGCAGCTTGTGTTAGCATATCCAATGCTGTTCTGAAATCCTCCACAAGTCCATTTCGCATTTCTTGAGATCCAGCATTCTGCAACGTAAATAAAAAATGTAAAAACACAAAGAATTTTGAAAACACATAGAAAAAGCAACAAACTACTTCATCTGGTTTATCACACCGCTGAGACAATCATAGGCACAGTAGATAGAAATATGATAAATTCACAGCAGTGTTCTGTCATGTTTAGCGGATAAAACTGAGAAAGCAGAAAACCTGAACAACTGTCAAGAAACTGTTCCTCAAACTCGCTCCATGCCATATTGTTGCCGGTTGGGGTTGTGCACTTCTTTCTTCACCCATTTCATAAAATCTATATCTTTCATCAGAGGAACCGGTCAGAAATTTAAAAATTCATGTCAAATCGGCCACAAAAACAGGAAACATATTAATCTAGCACTGAAATCAAAGGAATGAAAACCGTGGTCATATTCCGGTATACAAACCAAAAAAAGAATATGCAATCGACTTTTATTTAAAGAGTCCGCTTAAAATATTAATATCGCAATAATATGCCATGGTGTTATATAGGAACTTTGTTTTTGTGCTGGGCGCACTAGCACTCGAAAGCATGAGACATGCTTAAATAATACATTTCATTTGCATAACAAATGCATTAATGATATCAAAATAACAGCAAAAAGGTTATGATAAAGTGGAATTGCGAAGAAGAAAAAGTGGAGAATTTTCAATCACAGGATTTTTCGGATAATTAAATAAGTGAAACATGCAAAGAGATTCAAAGTAAAATGTTGGAAAGAAAAAACCAGTAGAACAGGTCCGAAATTACGGGTGAAAAAACAAATACCTCCAATCATGTACATAAGATGAATTAAGAAAATGCACTCCTTTCCTCCCTTCCTTTCCTCGTTTCCTTCCATGTGTCCTTGTATTTAAAATACCACTGCTCAAGTAAGATAACCTGGTTTCAGTATTCAGTTCCTCAAAATTAGAATTTCAAGCCTCAAGTAATTATTGAAAATGGGACAACCTTTACAGGATTATCTTAAAACGAGATTTTTCATTTTTTTTTTACCCAACAAAAATAACACCGAACACACAAAAAACAAACAATGAAAGCACCAAAAGAATGTAAAAAAAGAACAAATGCGAAGTTCATAACCGAATTTCAGCATATCATCTCGAAGAATGCAAATTAACCGATCAAAAATGAAAAAAGGATGTGTCAAACCAATGAACTGATAATGAATTTCAAGCGAGAGATGGTGTGGCAATAAAAAGAAATTAAAGCAATGAGTGAGCATGTAGAAATCAAAACAAAAATGGAACAACGAATTCCACTAATTATATAAAGAGTTATATCATTAAAACAACAAATGTTGTAAGTAAAGAAATGGAATTAAAGTAATAAATGGCCTGGTACTAATCACAGTATTGGTTGGATTAATTCAACAAATTAGTAAATAAAAAAGGCAAGGAAAAGAACTAAAAATAAAAAAATTGATACAATATAAGCTGGTGTGAATGATAATCACAGTAAAATAAGAAAGCTCTTCACAGTAACACATCTCAGTGAATAATAGAACGCCGTTAAAAACGTGAATAAAAAACATCGTTAGATACAAATAACTCAGTTGATATGAAAATGAATGACTTTGGTGCAGTAAAATACAGGTAATGCATAAAGAAAATGAACATAGGAAACAAATCTATTTGTAGTTTTTTTTGGCTAACTGCCACTCACCACGGACATAAGGATGATTTTAGAAAAAGCAATGAAAAAGAAAAATGCATGACTCTAGCAAAAATCGTTCGCCAGAGAAAAGTTTGGCAAAAATTCATTTCATAAGAGATAACGAAAACACTCAAAAAGTCTTAGTATTTTTAGTGTGAAGTGAACTGTTCAGAATGATGATGATCAGGTACGGGACAATCGTCACTTCGCAGCGAATCCAAATCCACATACTGACCAGGTCTATGCCAGTAATATTTGTTCTCATAATGACTTCGACGACTCTCTTTTTTATCCAACCAAACTTCCGTTGAACTTCTTGATCTCATTATGAGGACCAGTGCAGATACGACTGCGATAAGCTACAAACAACTTATTTTAAAATGGACCAATTCTGTCATTTTTACACTGAATCAGCATTCATGAAATTTGAAAATCAATTTTTGACATGTATAAGAATCAGATACTTGACAGAAATATGATGTTTACGACACTGTAACAAACCTCGGCAATAACAACGATGGCAAAAATAACGAATGCAGTAGAAAAACCCGTGCGCAATGCAACCATTATACGATAGTGACAACCATCACACCTGATATCACACGAACGCGGAATATCTTGATGCAGAAATCGAAAGTCACTGCAACCTCCGCTACCTTAACACCCTCTTTTTTACATTAACTTTCAGCTGACATCAAAACGACGACAGATGAGGAAATCACAATTCATATGAAAACAAATTAAGTTACTAGTCACAATATATTGGGATCTGGAAATTGACAAAGGGTAACATCTAAATATAAGAATTTCGTGATATTAACTTCGAAGCAATATTGAAGACTGATTTATCAATAAATCAAATTCTAAAAATTTGAAATCTGAAGTAACGAATAATTGGAAACAAAAATATACCGCAGCATCGGAAGGCTTGTTGTAATCGATCTAGGCTTTCCTGAACAATTCCTGCCCCTTGATAATAGCTTTGTACCATATATGTTAACGCATCCGATATTTCAACATCAATCTAAAAGAATTTCATTACGGATGAAAACAAAAATGAAAATATCAGAGACTTTTAATCAAGAACTGGAATAACAGAAACTTACACCATACTTTTTGAAGATAAGATAAGTTATTGAGGAAATAGTGCACATCATAAGGATACATACAGCTATGACATATATTAAGAGAAGTACTCGAGAATCGGTAGATGCACCGCAGCAACCAACCACACCAACAAGTACCATGCACATTCCAATGACAATCAAAATGTAGGAGAAAACGTATAGAGTTGAAGCCTATAAATTTGTTCTCGACTTTTACAATTTCAACTATTTTGATTGATTACTCAAAACCACCTATTACTTATTTTACCCTAACACTACGTGATATAAAGAGTAAGAAAGTAAAAATAAAATACTTAACATTTTGAGGGAAATCATTTGAAGCACTTTTAGCTTTGAAATAAAAAATGCTTAATGCGAATACAGCCAACGCGGCATATACGTAGCCATCAAAAATTGCTTTTTGAAAATACCGGTTAATTTGCTTATGCAACAATTCCCTTCCAATAAATTACCTGCCAAAATGCTTCCTCTACAACATTCCTGTATCTTTGCGATAGGAAATCCCGAAATTGTGAATCTGTACGAAGCCATGCTCCCATAGCTAACGATGCTGTGCCCGCAACCTAAAAATACTTTCTTCTGTTTGTGATTCGAATAACAACATTCAGAAGGTAGTAAAAATTTTTGGCTGCTTTCTTCTCCTCTAATACTTCAATGAAAAACGTCATTAGAAAATGTCAGCAGAAAATTATTCTTTTTGCCATATGTGAATTAGTAGAAATTAATACAAAAGTATTTACCACCATTATAATATTACAAGTATATATAACATAGCGCAACCATGCAACTGGCCCTGTCTTTTCCGAATTCCTGGAAAAATAAAATAAATAAACAGACAAACAAATGAACTTCCATACGACGTAGTTTAAAACAACGTGAACCTGAAATAATATCTGCAATGCTTATACTGTGGCATATTTACCCATAATTCTTCCGCTTGCATTATTTCATGAAACAGATCACCTTTAAAACCAGAATTCTCGGATGACATTACCGAATTGATACATTGAGGATAAAAATACCTCTGCTCCACTGAGCTTATTGAAGGAATGGCTCGATATGACTGCCAGGATACGCTATCCCTGTATTGATCAGATTTATACATTCCACTGTTTTGATGATAATTTCAAATAGTAGTGCATATTTATAACAGTATCATCGTTCCAAACTGGAAAATTCAGAAAAAAACAGAATATAATGTAATACGTGTTTGAAAACGACCTACAACTTGTATTTTCTTCTTTCTCCGCAAAAACTAGTTCTATCGGCGAAAGGGATCCTCACTGGCTACTGGATTCTGAATGAAATCTAAAATATTTTTCCGTTTGTCTCACACTTATCCAGAAGGACCAGATAATATTTCCCTTGAAGTGTTTCCGCTTCTGCAGCATCCATGTAGAAAGAACAGCCGTTAGTCCTGAACCCGGTCAAACCACTTTTCTAAAATCACGACCTGCTTCGCAACCGGAAATCTCAATATCGTTATATAAATGTCAGCCACTCGCTCTTTTACGGCCTATTTAATAAACACCGTCTCGCCATGACAATTTCTCGAGTCTTAAGCACCGTCTTTTTATAAATATGCATTTCGAATCGAAGATGGCCTGTGCTTCAACTTGCTTAGTACTGAGAATAAGCTTTTCCGGTTTCACATCACTATTAAGGTTTTTCAGAATCAGCAGGAAATTAGGACATTATTCCTCTGGGAAAAAATAAGCAAGTTACTGTTATACGATGAAATATCGAAGGAATTAACAATGTCAGATAAATCAATCTTTCAATTACTACAAAAGAAAAAGCATAAGTGAATTTTTTAAGGGATGAATGATTGGTAAAAATCATACTGTAATTTTTCATCCAAAGTACGATATTTAATTTGCAATAAATTGATCAATTTTAAAAATCGTAACGATAATGAAATTTATTAAATCTCTATGCAAAATTATCGTTATCTTTTCTACTTTCATTTCTTCATCCATCTCTTCCATTTCTTCCTTGTTCAATTTTGTGTATAAAATGTACTGATAAGCGATAGTAATTTCTTGATGATGACAAATGTATACATGTTCAATTATTTTTATTCCAAAATGATGAAGTATCAAATTCGACATATTTTTTCAATTCAATTTTTTTACATGTAATTTGTTCATCATAATCATGACATTCAAATTTTGTTTTAAGTTGTAATTTTACAAATTTATTACTAAAATTTGGCAATGGATTTGTTCCAATCACTGGTTGCGTCTTACACGTTGATATATCAGCATATTGATTAACTCGATTCGTATCATTTGATAACAGACTGTTAGTTGTTAATTTAACATTTGGTGAATTATCATTAACCGTAGATAAAATGTCCATCGATTTCTCTGAGCTTAATTTCATTCTTGACATCTTTTCATTTTCCATCGTCACATTATCGAATATTTGATTGATTGATGATGGTAAATCATTTGATTGTTGTGTGTCACGAATAGACGTGAAAGAAGTAGATGGCTTATTGTTGTAAATATTCCCATCGGATGATAATTTTCCCAATTCATTCAAAGGTTTCTCAGCTTTCTGATATGAATTCATCCCGTTGCATCTCTGATTATCATTCACTGTTAAAAAATTTTGACAGACTATTGGCAATTTATTCGTTTCATCTTTCCTATAAAGAAAACTAAGATTTTTGGTTTTGAAATATATATTTAAATAGTTTTGTTCATTATTAAATATGATAACGAGAAAAAGAAAATGTTATTTGAATAAATTAAATTCCAATAATATTTGATGGAAAAAATAATCTATCAAAGGTATATACTTTATTGCAAATAATTTTGTTATTGAATTATTTGACGAACTACTTCGATCCGTAAGACAACCTGAATCACATTCCGAATATTCACCATTTTGACATGCAGAATACCTATGATAAAATTTCCGTAATCAATTATAACACTTTAATTTATACTGGTAGCAAAAGAAAAAGAACAAAAGTAAATAAACTTTTTTTTCAACTTTTAAACTGAAAAATAATTTCAAATTCTTTTACTAAAACTATTGATGAATTTGTTTCAGGCTGGAAGGAAAAATTTTTTCAATATTTTCAGTCGAAAAAAAATTTGCATCCTTACTTTTCAGCAACATAATGTGCTACCAAATAATTCATCTTTTGTTCCATTTCATATAAATCTCTTTTTAACCTTTGCAATCGCCGTGTTTGCCTCATTACTGTACGAATCTTAAAAATAAATAAATATATTAGATTCTGTACGAATCTTAAAATAAATAAAAATACTAGATACTGTACGAATCTTAAAACAAATAAATGTATTAGATACTGCACGAATCTTAATATAAATAAATATATTAAAACTGTACGAATCTTAATACAAATAAATATATTAGATACTGTACGAATCTTAAATAAATATATTAGATACTGTGCGAATTTTAAGGTAAGTCAATATATCCGACAGTTTGAATTTCAACATAATATCATCTCTTTCATTGTTTATCTCATTTCATACAGATAGAGGAAGCTTGCTTGCTACATTACCAATTTTCTTTTTTTCAAATTTTTTGAAGGAATGCAGAAAGGATCAAATGAGGTATTTAACTATTCTTCATGACAGTAATATATCTTAAATTGTAAATTTAAAAAGAAATAGTTTTCTCTTCGAATTCTTGAATTGATCAAATTAGTAAATACATTCATTTTACTTTTTCAATTTATCACTCGTAAATGATTGTAGAATAAAATTTTACCAAATTTTCTTGTCGAATAAAATTGAAAATATCCGGGCATTGGGTATGAGTTTTATTACGAAATGAATTAAGCGTTGAGAGAACTTCCATTTCTTCTAAATTTTCTTCATCCCAACTATCGTCAGATTTTGAAGGATTTTCCTCACTTTTATCTGGACAAAAAAAAGAAAACATCAATATTAATCTTACAGGAAAAAAAGGGAAAACAAAATTTGTTGAAATATAAAATAAATTAAAATATTTAAGTTTTTGTGTTAATAGAAGAAAAAAAATTTACCTGATATTTTTCCAAATTTTTGATCATAAGCATCTTGAAGTAATAAGCAAAGGTCAGCATAATTTACAACATTTGGAACTTGTTGATTTGGTAATGAAAATAATGAAAGGATAATCTCAGCTTGTGCTCTGCAATTGTATTTTAGTAATTAAATTGCTGAAATATTTAATAAGTAATTGAAAATAAATTATAGAAATAATAGCATAAGATTTTAAGTTTTATTAAACTTAAAAATTCATTTTGAATTTTTGTTTAAACTTTTTTTCTTCAAAATTTCAATGTTAAACAGATAGATATCTGCTAGCAAATTTTGCAATTTGTTAAGCAAAAAATAATAGTATATAGTATATAATATTAACAGATATTATATATTATGAATTTAACAACTGGAAATATTTGAAAGCATCAATTTTCAACATTTTATTAATGATAATAATTTTTATCTGTTATACCTTCAAATACATTTTTATTCTTATCTTTTTTTTTTTTAAATGATAAAATTATTCTGATAATAGTACGTATCACATGATATTGTACGCATCATAGATATTGCATATGGTATTGCACATTTTATAGCAATATTATAATGTATAAAATTATGGAAATAATTAAATTATATTATAATAATAAAACGAAAATACATTTTTACTCTTATCTTTTATTTTAAAATTTTAAATGACAAAATTATTTTGATATTAGTACGTATTACATGATGTTATATATATCACATGATATTTTACGTATCATATGATATCGAATATGGTATAGCACATTTTATAGCAATATTATAATGTATAAAATTATGGAAATAATTAAATTATATTATAATAATAAAAAGAAAAATACTGGAAACAAACTTATTCAAGAATGATTTGTTGGAATTTTCCATAATATTATCATAAATAAGTGCAATCAGGTGAAAAAATTTGTTAGTTTGGATAAGTTTATGAATATACGAAATGACTGTTTTGGATGCCGATTGTGACACACTTTTCATTGCTTCTGTTTTTCTTTTCCTATTAATCAGTCGATTTTTCTTCTTTTTGAAAATTCAATTGAACAATTTGAAATCTAAAAATCGTATAATTTTAAATTGTTAATTTATGTGGAATAGGCAAATAAAAGGTTGAAGATTAAAAATATTTTAATGTGAAATTTTACGGTCATTTATCATCAAATCGATTAATATCAATTGATAAAATATAAGAATAAAAAAAAAAAAAAAAGGGATGAAAAATGATTTTTAAGATGAATAAGATTATCAAATTTAATACAATAATTACCGTACCATTTTAGGCTTATCAATTTTTTTCTTGTTGATATATTGAAATCCTACTTTGTCAACATTTTGCAAATTATATATGAATGATAAACAACTGCCAAATGGATATTGATCATTCTTAATAAACGCAGAAACAAGTAATATAAATAAAACAAAAATATTGATACGATACATTATCAGCAAAAAATAAAACAAAACTGTTAGAAAAATACGTATAATAAATATTCTACCTTTTGATATAATATAAAATTAAAATTTTTTTCACAAAAAATAATTAATTACAAGATAACAAATTTCTTAAATCAAAGTGATATTAATTCATCAAACATAAAACAATATTATTTCAATTAATTTCAAAAATGTTGATTTGAACGGAAATTTTGTGAAACTGATAGCCATAAATATGAGATTTTGAAAAGTAGTGTCGATTGAAGGAATTCGAGTAATTCATCCGTTGAACAACAACTGTTTTAACAATCTTCCTCGGTGCTTTTCTTTTCTATTCTTCTCTTTTCTTTTTCGTTAAACAAACTTGATGAATTTTTGCTACAAAATAGATCGATCAGTTTAAATTTTAGTTTCAGAAAAGTTTGTGTTTCTTATACATATACATATACAGATGTCTGTCACAAAGGAAGAGGGAAATTTGCATTGACCGAAATTTTCAATACTTCCTTTCCTTGCACCAATCATTCATATGATTGATCTGGTGAGACTAGCGAAGTAAAAATAATTACTGAAATTCA